ATCTAAATTAAATTATAATAAAAAATTAAATTAAAAAAATTACATGAAAAACGAGAACTTTTAAATTATTAATTTAATACTAATATCAATATTTTTTTAATTTATATTTCATTAAAAAAATATTATCGTTTTCTAAAACCACATAAAACTGTATTATATACACACAAAAAAATGAATAAAATGAAACATTAAAATTAAGATATATCGTTGTATTGCACGAGTCTCCATCTAAATAAACCTAAAATATTTATTTTATTATTAAACATAAATGAATGCTATATAACGTTACAATTTACCTTCATGTACGGTACAATTGGAATGTTCTGGATGGTAGCGAAATTTAATTCATATAACAACGATAAATATTCCACTCCACAAATTTTAGATCATTTGATACATTATTATGTTACACTTGTCTTTTTGTTTGTTTGGTCTTTTTAGGAAAATTATGATGCGACATTTTTTTATTATTGAAATTTTAAAAAATAAAAATATTGATATCATGTCAGTGAAATTATATTCTAACCGATATTAACCAGTCATTAAATAAAAGAGGTACTCAAATGTACGAGATATCACATTTTGTTCTATACTTAATTTGACGTTTCCGAAACTCTTTAATTTTTTCTTTGGAAAATAACATTTCACTGATCCTTTTTTTTGACATTCAACTATTACCAGATGAGTGGATCTCGATGTGTTGTAAGGACTTCTCCTTCTCTTGGCCGAAGTGGCGTGGAGGGCAAACGTTTGATGGGTAAGCATTTTCGATTGTTGGATCGTCGCTGTTTGTTGTTATTTGGCGTTTGTTTTCGGTTTTTCGGGGTAGTGCCCTTTTGTTTTCTAGACAGACTCGTTATCGTTTTGAGGTCTTTTCCGTTGGGCTCTTTGTGTTGATGCTTTTCGGGGCTCGCCTCAAATATCTTTCGGTGGTATAGACGTTGGGGTTTTCTTGGACGCTTTCTTGTTACGTTTTGTTTTTGCTAGGTTTTTCAGTTTTGTTGTCTGTTTTGACTTCGGTCGGTGCTGCTTCTTGAAGACTTCTGTTGTTTCCTTCTCTGTCCTTGTTCTCTTTTTCTGGTAATATATTGTTGTCTTGTAAAAAATAAATGAAATATCACATTTTAGACATCAAACTAAAGATTTTGAAAGTCATTATTCAAAAAGTAACCGAAACAAAATACGTTTGATTATAAACAATTTATCTTTTTTTGAAGTATATAATATTTATGTACATTAAATACAACAAATAAATTCATACACTTTCTTCACTTTTGCTGAGATTTAACCCCCTGATCTTTTAAAAGACCAAAGACTATGATGCCAATAACAAAAAACGCTCTGATAATTTATTTATTTCTTGTTTTAGCCACGATAAAAAAAAATATTTATTAAAATGAACCAAAAAAAAGCGTTAAAATCGAATATTTATTCTATTAAAAGAATTCCAATTAATTATCAGATTTTTAACAGCTCTGTGAATAAAAGAATCGAATATTTCACGCGCTCTGTGATACCTTGCTATCCAAGAATTTCTAGAACCCCCTGACTCGCTTATAAAACCCCCAATTATAACGTGTTCGGCATAGTCAGATTTTCTCACTACTCTTTAACAATGGCGGAAAATGGTGAAGTTGATGTTCACGATGTCCGATCGCTGTTTTCCTCATCTGAAAGAGATTACCTTGTTCGGAACAACGGTGATCAGGTATCTACTTATCTTCTTTCTTGAAGTTAAATACGAAGTCTCCTTTTTTTTTTCTTTCTGGATCGTAATTGCTAGCGATTGGAATGTTATGTGTTGTCGATATCTGTGTGATGATTCGATTGTCAACAGAAGATTGTTTGGGTTATGTTGTAGTAAGAAGCTGGTGTTTTTAGTTTGTTGTGTTATGTGTTACACTGCATCATGTAGGCTCAATTGCTCAATCCTTAGTAGTTGGTGCTAATGAGATTTGGTTATCTGGCAAATTTGTAAAACTGTCGAGGCTGTAAAAACGAAAAAGTGAAGTGCACTATGTTTCAGCTTCTGAATTGAATTGCGATGAATTTGGGAACCTTTTTAGAATTCGTTTAACAATGTCGATTGATGCTTCATATGAAAAAAATTGGTGTTAATTTTGTTGTTAAATCCATATAGACTTTGACTTTGGGATGATAAGTTCGAGGACCAATTATTTAGAAATCTTGGTTTCGAGTCACATCAAGCTTGGATAAAACTTGGATCATCCACCGGAGCACTTTCCATCTAGGATATTTTGACCCACAAGTGCATAAGATTTTAAGAAATTTGTATTGAGAATTTGAGATCATCCAAATTCGCATTACACAGGGTCTGTTATGATTTGTGTGTTCAAAATTGAGATCGAAACTACTTGTATGAGCAGTTAATTAACAGAAAATTTAGGAAGGTAAGTAGTTATTTGGAAATAAGTAGATAAGAGTTACCAAATAACCACCAATGGATAAAACCAAAAAAAACCGTTGCTCCATAGCAGACCTCTGTCTATTCTTCTGAAGATTTGCTTTCGGAAGTATGTCATTAGTCATCAAAGTCAAGGCTTCCCTTCTGAAGGGATCTGCCCCTTGACCACGCAAATGGGCGTGACCCCCTTGACCCCTTCTTTATGGTGATCTCCGGTTTAAGTTAGCTTGTACGATCGTTCCGCACCTACTAGCCTATATTATAGTTCAACTATGAATCCCATCGATCTCTTGCAAATCTCAACTACACCAAAATGATCGATGATACTGAAATCACCAACAAATCAAGTCATTGATTTAGTACTATTAGCTGTTATGTTGAGTTTTAGATTCCAAGGGAATGTGTATGGATCTGTGTACTACTTGCTTCTTGGTAGATTACTAACACCAAAAATGGGTCTTCCTGTGATAGCTTCCTTATTTTTCGTTGTACTTAGATTAAGATTCTGTGGAGTGAAGAAGAGCAATAAAAAATGAAAGGTAACATGGAATGAAAAGTAAGAAAGAAACGTAAATCAATCTCTGAATGTTTATAAAGCTACTTATTTTGAACTATAGTGATCCTTAATAGTTACCGAAAAAGGGAATGGTATAATAAGCTACTATAAGAGTCATTTTGACATTGAAAATTTGGGAGTTTGTGACGTTGATAACTCTAGATTGGTGGACGGGTGAGATGGAGGAGTATCAGAAAAGCTTAGTTACAAACTTCCAAAGTAGATGATATTTGCTTATTTTGCTGATTTCATGATGATCAGAAGTTTGGCAACTAAAGAAATGAATTTGGTTGATAGAAGCCGACTGTTTGGCGATAACATTTTTCGTTGCCTTAGCCCTTAAGGTTTGCATTAATTTTGATTTATTTAGTGACTATGGTTGTTGATCTAGAAAATTGAATCTACAAGAAGTGAAATGCAATCCCTTCAACAGCCTCCGCCTGACTGATTGTTGTTCTCCTGTTTCCACTGCTTGTAAATGTAATTTGGAAGGAGATTTTGTGTTGGTTTGTATTATTGTCATATAGCATGAAGCTTACTTGATGAGTTGATGTACTATTTACTTCTTTTGTCATTCGTTTTTGTAGGTTTATATGGTGTATTTATCTCTTTGCCTTTGATCTGTTGTTTGCTAAGTGTTACATTTTGCTACCTACATATAAACCTAGTGTTTATAAGTATTGATAGAAGTAGAATATTCTTTGTCATACTAAGGGAATGTTCTCTTGCCAAATTTTGGAAGGTTGCAATTGCCACTCTACAAGGAAAAAGGTTGGGCTTATATTTTTCTGCATCCTGGTGCCCCCCATGTCAAAGGTTTACTCCAAATCTAGTGGATGTATATGATGAACTTGTTGCAAAAGGCGATTTTGAGGTTATATTCGTCTCAGCTGACGAAGACGTGGAATCCTTTAATGGCTATTTCTCGAAGATGCCTTGGCTTGCAGTTCCATTCACGGATTCCAAAACACGAGAGGCTTTAGACGGACGTTTTAAGGTCAAAGGAATACCTCATCTTGTCTTCCTCGATGAAAATGGGAAAGTTTTGAGTGATCGTGGGGTCATGCTCGTCAGTGAATATGGAGCAGAGGGGTACCCATTTACTCCAGAACGGGTTAAAGAGATTAAAGAACAGGAAGAAGAAGCCAGGAGGAATCAGTCTTTGAGGTCCATCCTTGAGTCTCCATCTCGTGACTTTGTCATCACAGCTAATGGCAACAAGGTGAGTGTAAGCCACATTACCTTCATCATTTTATGAGATTGATCATCCATCTGATTCAGAAACATTATTTATGTTTTATATTAGGCACTTGTTACCAACCTTGAAGGGAAGACGGTCGGTTTGTATTTTTCTCTGTCTTCGTTCAAGAAATCCTCTGATTTTACTGGTACACTTGTCAAAACATACAACGAACTGAAAGCAAAAGAAGAGAATTTTGAAATCATAATGATTCCCCTCGATGATGATGAAGAATCCTTCAAGAAAGAGCTTGATGGTGTGCCTTGGTTATCGCTTCCATTCAAAGACAAGAAATGTGAGAAGCTAGTTCGGTATTTTGAGCTCTCAACACTCCCCACTTTAGTCATTATTGGTCCGGATGGGAAAACTCTTCATCCCAATGTTGCCGATGCCATTGAAGAACATGGTGCCAATGCCTACCCTTTTACGCCTGATAAGTTCTCAGAGCTTGAGAAGATAGAGAAGGCCAGACTGGAAGCACAAACTTTTGAATCGGTCTTGGTCTCGGGAGATCTTGATTTTGTAGTCGGAAAAGATGGAGTGAAGGTGCGCTATCATATTCTTTCATCTCGAATATGCTTACCTTCGTGTTAAATCCCTTTAAAACTGTGTATTTCCTGTAACGGTCCGTCCTCCATGGATACAAAAATTAGATCTGTGAACTCCTTATGAGCTCAAAGTTGGAGACTGCCGATAACTTCCACCATAGTTTTAAATTCATTTGGAGGTAATTTGGTAGCCTGCTTTTGGTCTTTGGGGAGTTACGTTTCATCGCTTTGTCACTGATGTGGGGTCGTTTTTGCAGATCCCTGTATCTGATCTGGTCGGTAAATACACCCTGCTGTACTTCTCTGCTCACTGGTGCCCACCATGCCGGGCTTTCACTCCAAAACTTGTTGAAACATATCATGAGATCAAGGCTAAACATGATGCGTTTGAAGTGATCTTCATCTCCAGTGACAGAGACCAAGCTTCATACGAGGAGTACTATGCTACCATGCCATGGCTGTCACTTCCATTCGGTGATAAGAGGAAACAGTCACTGAGCCGCGTCTTCAAAGTCAACGGCATACCGTTGTTGGCAGCGTTAGGACCAACTGGAAAGACGATCACAACAGAGGCTAGAGGACTAATCATGCTTCATGGTGCTGAGGCATTCCCGTTCACGGATGAACGTATGGCAGAGATCGAAGCTGAATATGCTGAAATGGCAAAAGGATGGCCCAACAAAGTGAAGCATGAGCTACACGAAGAGCACGAGCTTGTTCTCACTCGATCACAAGGGTATACATGTGATGAGTGCGACAAAGATGGAAAGATTTGGGCTTATAGTTGTGAAGAATGTAACTTCGATCTTCATACCGAATGCGCTCTCAAAGAAAGTAATGGGAAAAAGGAGACAGAGACGGAGACGGAGACGGAGAAAGCTAACGAGGGGTGGATATGTGATGGAGAAGTTTGTTATAAGGCTCCGTAAACGGGTCTTGTGTTAAAATGTATGGCTATAAAACTATGGTTCTCATCTCCCGACGCTAGTGTAATGTAATGTGTGTATTTTGGTGATGTGGTTAGTCCTTGAGTTTCCCAGGTGTTGTTGGATCCAATTATGGTTACAATGTGTTATTGTTAGCAAGTCTGTAGAGATCTGTGGATGGTAATTTGCTGCAATAAAATGGTTACAATGTGTTATTCTAAAAGTAAATGTCATTCTCCTCTTAATTTATAAGATTTTGTTTTTCACGATCAGAACGAATTTATAGATGGGTATCTACACGTACGCTAATAAAAATGAATTTAATTTGAATAACTAATTTCCCAATTTAACTACAAATTCAACAAACGTCTAAGCCGTACAAGACGCCGGCGTAATTTTCCGGCCCAACGTCCACGAAGTACACGTCCCTCATCTTTTGAAAGGCGTGCCACGTCAACAAGCTATCTGAACCGGCTTGATGGCACTTCCCAGCAACCCGGTTCACCTCTAAAAGACTCGCCACCCGGTCCAAACCCCCGTACAAACCGTTCCGGCAAAACTTCATCAAGTGCTTCACGTCGTACACGTTGTCCCCAAAGAACGCCTTCAATGTCTCCAAAAACTCCGGCAATCCTCCCGGCAGACGGCGGCGTGTGAGGATCTTCAACAAGTACCCGAAATCATACGCGCTGTGAAACGTCACCCAGGTAACCTCTTCATTACAAACCAGACCGGATGACATCATCAACTCGGCGAATTTGGCTGAATCGATCCCATCGGTTCGGTTCCGATCAAAATCAATCCCTTGACGTTTCAACAAATCAATCGATTCCGGCGCGTAGGCATCACGCGCTAGATCAAAATCGTTGAAATTGAATTGCCAGATGAAGCGTTGGTGGGTCCCATCGATGGATGGAAGGTTGCCGGAAGAGTCGGTGAAGGTGAGACCGAGCTGGATAAGGTTCAAAACGTCAACGTTTGACTTAAGAAGCTTGTAGTGTTCCGATGGCCAGCGATTTCTGTAAGATCTGCCAGGCTCCAACGGTTGACGGTATACAACGCCAGGGAACTCTGTGTCCATGGAGATGTAAGGGTATTGATCGATGATGGATCGGATCAAATCAAACTCGGATTCTAAATTATCAGACCATACTTCTCGGATTGTGATGCTTTTATCAATACAACTTGACATGATTATATATATATATATTTAACACTCAATACACCACCGATTTTCAGCTGGTAAGTTGATCCCAATTCCTTATCAGATGTTTTTTTGGTGGGTGTGGATGAAAATGGAAGATCGTACTTATAGAAGATGGAGTTGAATTAAAGAATGATTGGCGACTGAGATGGTGCTTAGAAAGGGGGGATGGGTTCAAAGAAAGAAGGTAGAAGAAGTCCAGATTCATGGCGTCCGCCATTGTTTGACTTTATTTAGTGATGGGAACCTTCCTTTTTGCTTCTTTCCTTTGAATATAAAATTACCAAGCATTTACCGATTATTACCGCAATTTATTTTTAATATCTGTGATTAAAATAATCATATTTAAGAAAATAAATAATTATTTCCAAAATTATATAAAAACAATCATTTAAATACATATTTCTAATAAATAATTATGGTAAGAGAGGTTCAGCAAAAAGTTAGAGGATTCTAACATATAAAATAAAGATTTCGATAAAAGAAATTATTTTAACAGATTTTTCAAAATGAAGAAAGCAAAAAAGAATGAAAATTTACAAATCTTTATAAAAATGATTACCATAAGAGAGAATAATTTATAATTATATTTCACGAATTATGAAATCTGGAAATTAAATGTTTGTGAGAAAGACATGATATTTATTAAACATATGGATTATTTGATATTATAACTGATATTGTAATCTTTAAAATTGAGAAATACATATAAATGTAATATTTTTTTAGAGATTTTACCTTTTAATTCTTGATTTTGAAAAATTTTTAGAGAATTTGTTGAAGATGTTCCTCCAACTATTTTGGAAATAAGTAGATCAAAGCATATTCAACAACTTTTTCAAAACGAAGATTTTGAGAATTTTTACTTCAACATATTTTCCATAATGGAATTCTTCAAATTTGGAGAGCTCTCCAAAAATATTACCTATAAAAGATAAATTGTTTTCTATTTTTTCTCTCGATGAGAAATCATGAAATTATATGTATAAAAGAAGATTTTAATATTTTAATAATACAATTTATACTGTAATTAATCTTTAAAATAGAGAAGTTATAGATGAACATAAATTTTTATTAGAGATTTTGACTTTTAGTTATACATTTTGAAAAATCCGTCGGAGATGATTTGATAAGTAAAACAATGCTATTTTTATTTTTGAAAAAATTAAATAATTAGAAAATATATTGTTGCTAAATATAGCATATCTCAATATATTATAAGTTACTGAAAAATAATTCTTTACTAAATATAATATATATATATATATTTGATAGGCAGCAAAAATATATTAAAAGGAGATGATTGCTAAATATAGCATATCTCAATATATTATAAGTTACTGAAAAATAATTCTTTACTAAATATAATATATATATATATATTTGATAGGCAGCAAAAATATATTAAAAGGAGATGATTGCTAAATATAGCATATCTATAAACTTATTTATTATTTAATGTTTGATTCATTGAATATGTAGCAATATGCTAGAGATTGTATTTAATGGGATGTCTACATGATTTTTTTTTTGAAATTTCTTATTATAATATTATATTTTAAAAAATTTGATTTTACATATTATTAGTAAATGTTTTAAATAAATTATAGAATTTCTAAATTATTCATTAATATATCAATATCAAGAAAATTAGATAAAACAAAATTTATCTCGTTAATATTAAAAAAAGGGTATTTTTTTGAAAAAAGAAAATAATTACGTTTTCTTTACCAAAAAAATATTTATCTTTTAAAGAATATATCATATTTGTTTAAAAAAATTACTTGACGGATAAATATATTAAATTAATTAGATTTGTTTGAATTATTCATTAATATAACAATATTAAAAAACTCGTAGAGCACAATTTATCTTTATTTTAGCCATGTAATCAAAATGATGTGTCTTACACATCACCTCATTTAACCAATGAAGCAAACAAAAAGAAAAAATATTGACCGGTTTAGAAGGTAGCAGGTTATCCATTGCTATAATTGGTAGATTTTTTAATGTACGATGTCCTAATAAAAAATAATATAAAAGAATATTATTTTCATAAGAAAAAATGAAAATACAATGTTATAATAAGAAAATTTATAAAAATAAGCTGTTATTTCATGCATTTAACTCTAGTTGAAAATTTAAAAGGTT